GAAATGATGGATATACCCTTTTATTAAATAAAACAAAAATAAAAGAAAAATAAAGAACTAATTGCAATCACATCTCCAATTTTTTTAAAAGGGTGCAAATGAAGATAAAAGGGTGAAATGATGGATATATCATTTTATATCGAGTAAGCCACTTGTACATTCTTTTGTTTATATTATGATTGACAATACATTGATTTTCAAATTGAAATGAGTGGAAAAGTGTGCTTCATTTCAAAATTATCAACTCATGTTATGACACGCGGTACAATGTAAAAAGTGATGTCAAATAAAGTGTAAATATAGCATGATATATATCTACCTAAATCAAAGTCAACAACTAATTTTAACAACACATTTAATGTGACACAACTTTTCAATTATACATTTCAATAACTTTTATCAAAATTTGCTTAAAATTTCATTTTTATCCCAACAAACAGGGGCTACATATATCAATCGAGCTATACAAACAAGGGCCTTTGACAGGCCTATGTGATAGGGCTGAGGTGTAGCCTTTGTCACAAGAGCCTGTCAAAGGTGAGAGACCCTGTTTGAGTAGTAATATATATATATACCCCTAATCCACTCCCACCCCAGCTTCACTCTACCTTACCTGCCCGCCCACTGGCATCTCCATCTTCTCTTCCTCATGTGACCATAGCCATTATTGACCACCGACCACCGTCACACCATTTGTCGCTGCCATCGCCTCCTACAACCACCACCATTCACCACTATTGGGCATAGAAACAACCAACCCAATATATCAAAAACAATCACCACTCCTTGCACAAAAAATGAAATTATGGCAATAGGTTGAATACTCAATTGATACAAAGGAAAAAAACTTAATTACACTTTTGACAACAAATTACGATATTACATTGAAGAAAGTGATAACCAATTGGGGGAATAAACTAGGATACCTTAGTTGTACTTGAGTCAATTGAATTGGGGTTGCTTTGGCAGAAAATTCTGTGAAGCCTACGAGTCTTATTTCGCGATTGGAGAAAGAAATTCAAGAAAAGAGGAGATTGATGGTAGAAATGGAGATAATAGGGATCGAATTTGGGGAGGCCGACGACGCTGGAAGTTGTAACTACCCGATCCATGTCGGCGAAGTAGCAACAGTTTTCTTTGTAGAGCAAACAATGCAACATATAATTTCTCACTAGCAGATACAAATTATTCTAATGAAATACATAGTGATTGTGAAATGAAATTAAGGGTCGTTTGATTGTAAAGGTGGAAAAGACAAACAATTACATGCAAGTTAGAAAAGAAAAATCATCAAAACTATAGGAATTCGATTTCCACTCAATTTGCTAAAAACATGCTTTAAGTGTTTGTATCTTGAAATTTGAACTCTATTTCAACTTTTATATCAAACGGCCAAAATAGAAAACAAATTTATCGGATGTGACATTTTCCATGAAATTTAATGCTATCAAACGAACCCTTAGATATATTGATATTGTTTGTAATTTTTAACAAACAATGTCATTTGGAAAATGGGTTTTCAAGATTTGATGGGTAATGTCGTGGTAGCGGTAGGATATCTTCGTCGAAACCTTTGGTGTGGTGGTGGTTTGGTTTTTATATGTATTTGATCTGTTTTGGGCTTTCGTAGTGATCGTAGAAGAAGAAGAATGTTTAATTGTGTCTTATATATACATCATCCTGGTGGTGTGGAGGAGGAGAAATAATTTTATTTATTATTTTAAATTTTTTAATAATTTATTTGGTACTCGTTTGCATTTTTTTTTTTACAAAAATAAGAGTATAATTGTAATTATCTTTTTTCTTTTCATTCGTTTAAATAAAAAGGTATATTCGTTATTTTGTGATCTTTCATTAAGAATTTGGATAAAAATGATAATTTTCTCAATAAAAGTTATAGATATGGGCGAAAATGCATTAAAAAAAATGCAAGATGGGAAAGTTTTGCACATGAATTTTAAATGTAGGGACATTTGTGTTAATAACCCATTGAGAATCAATTGTGTGGATAAATCTTCCTAAAACTTAATTTAGCCATTGTCTAGCTTTCATTTTATCTAAAATGCATTTTTCTCATTCGATTTTTTAACTATACATTCTCCAATAAAATAATATTACACGTAAATCTAAAACTGTTACTCCTCGTATTAAATTAGCCATCAGTAAGCAACACGTGAAAGCCCCACTAATGTCATTGGAAGAATGAGCCCGAAACATATAAAAAGACGGAGCAACGAGGTTACAGATTTGCTACAGAAGCCGAAGTCCTTATTCTGGTCGAGGTACCACTCAACCAGATAGATGTCGAAGCCTTGACGAAGGGTTTATGCTGAAGTCCTTATGTTCATGACCTGTCGAGATTCTGAAAAATAAGGTCGAAGTCCTACGAGATGAGGATGCTATCACATCTGCCAACCTGGTGAATATCTTTGCGAAAAACTGATTAAATGTCCACTTTATCTTATGTCAAGAATATCTGCCTAAAAATATAGGGCAGTTGACTATTTGTTAATATAATAAATGCATGTATAAGAAGGATGTGATGTACAAAGAAAGGAGGTAGGGGCACTTGGTTTGGATCCAATGGCCACTACGTCTTCCCCAAACTCTATATATAACCTCCCCTTAGAAAAAGACGTGGGTTAAAAAAGAATAAGGAACGGGTATATAAAATTTTGGCACACTTTGAAGGGAAAAATAAATACAACTCTATACGTTTCTTGCCATTTGATTGTGTTCATTTTTCGCTCTCTCTTATCATTTATTTACAAAAGTTGTGACCGTATTTGGGTAAAATTAACACTGCTCATTCACAAGCTTTTTTGGTCACTTTGTTAGCACCTAAACTGTTTAGTGTCGTGTTGAAGGAGTATCTCCTGTGTCCAATCTACCATCCAATCAAATCAACGATCTAAACGCATCGAAATTTGCCCGCTCTTTTAACAACACATTCTTCAAAATAATCACTGTTCCAAAAGGTATTTTCCCCGAAAATACATTAAAATAGAGCCCAAACAAAAGGCTTAGAATGAAACATTTTTGTTAAAATTTGATCGAACTGATAGATATATTTGTTGGTGGATAATAATTGTCATTGCCTAGAAATATTTAGATAAAAATAGATTTGAATTTTTATAAACCATTTTATATACATATCATGTATGATTATATTTAATTTATGTTTATAAATTGTCATTTCACCTTTCATCCATCATTCTTTGTGCCTGTTGGACAACTACTATTCATTTTATGATTTATTATACGATTATTTTCAACCACACATTTATGAGACCCAAGAATAGCTAATGAAGAGTGGGTAAATTGGATTTTAAAACTTTTTCTAAAATTAATCCAAATTTAAGTAAGTTGAGAATGAATAAGTTAATGAAACAATAATGCACAATATTAAAGCAATAAGTAAAATGGAAGAGAGTATGCAAACGATGTAATTATGGAGATTTGATCCCAATCAATGATTTATATTATTCGTTACCAAGCTTTCAATCATATTGATTGATTTATGGTGTAATCCAAACTCAGACAGTGCTTCCGATAACTTATAAACAAGGAGCACCAATCCTTATATAATATTGAGGTTTTCACAACCTCAATATGACCCACTAAATAAAAAAAAAGATTTTACAATTTGAAACTTCTATCTCAATAAATGATATAATTAAAATTAAGTATAAAGAGAGAAATAAATTAACACTTTAATAAACAATGTATGAAACTCAAGTGTTATGTGAATTATTTATTTATTTTTATTTTTTGATGAGAATAGTGATTGTCAAAAGTTAATTCAATCAAAAGTTTTTCAAAGTAAGTAAATTGATAAAGATAAATAAGATGTCTAATCAATATAATTTAACTTTAGAATACCTTACTTAAATGCTCTTAAAAATGTTGTGCAAAGTGAAATAATATTTAGAGCAATCAAAACACCAAACACTCTGATTGAGAGGAAACTCGTTCGAACATCAGCATCTTGAACTGGAAACTAGTCGTTATGCATCCGAATTTAGAACGATTAAAAAGTGACCATTGGACGAACCGGTCGCCTACTAGGCTCAACCAGACATCTGCTTGGGCAATTTTTTTCGAATTTTCCTTCTTAATTGTTTTGAAAAATGTAGATTTTTAAAAGATCTTTTCACTTTATTTTTCTTGGTAAATGATATTGTAAAGAGTTTGAATATCAAATTGAAATACTTACCTCTTAAAAACAATTTTTATGCTAGTGTTTTCATAAAGTAATTTTTCTCGTGCATAAAAATTCATTGTTTGAGCTTTTAACAATTCATTGCTAATGGTTAGAACATTTTACCTTTATACATGAATCTAAAAACATCTAATTTAATATCTTCGATGTTTAACTATTGAACTTCTTTGTCTTCGAGTAATTTGACGTGAATGCTCGGCTTCTATCTCGATTTTTATTGATCATTAAATGCAAATCTTTCGGTAGTGATCTTTTTGTCTCCAATTGATCAACTTTGCAACTATAACTATTAAGACTCAAATTCAATTGTTAGAAATAAAAACAATTTATTTGTTATAATCAAAATATGAAGTCAACCATAGGTCAACAATTCAAACAATAAAATATTATACTTATATACCAAAAATTTTTCTTTACTTTTTAGAATAAATCTGCTTCTATTTACATCTCCTCATAGCTTGACGGGCTCGCCAATTTGTTGCCATTTTTTATTGAGTGTGGGCCCTTCGAACTATGATGAGAGTGTCAATCGAGCTGTCAACTAACTGTTTGTACAGCTCGATTGTACTTTTTAAACACACATTCTACTAAAAATTACTATTTAAAACTCTTTTTTCTATAATAATGATTGTTAAACAAGCTCTTTATTTCTTTTATAATTCAAACGGTTTATAAACACTTATGGTCGAACTAATTTTTATCATAGAAAATACATCAGCATTTATATAACTATAATTAGACTGATAAGTTTTGAAACTTAGCCTTAGCCAAACTCGTATAACCAGAAAAGGTACAAGCATTTGAAACGAAGCAATATATAAAATGGCGGGCTAAATAAATTTTCCCTATCTATTTCTCTCTCATCATTCAATTCAAACCCTCCCTTCAGAGATCAACAAATTCGCAGGAAGAAGAGAAACTTATCACATAGATGCAGATGCAGAGCGGAGGAGAGAACAATGTACGGACTCGCTTGGCGGAAACCCGATTAATATGCGAGAGAGAAATCCCCATTCAGCAGCAGAGGATCGATTCCACCGTTATCTCCGAGCGGAATATTTTCGATTCTGTCAAGTCCAAGGCCCAACAAACCATTCATCTTCAAGGCGAATTTTTATCATGCTTTTTGAACTTATATTGTTGTTGCCATTGGGGTTTATTTACTTTTTTTTTAGGGTTTATATACTTTTTGCTTCATTGTTAAATAACCTTGTTTTCATTAGCTAGATGTAGTTGTCAGATCTATATTAGGAATGTTTTGGGTTCTGGGATTCTCTTATTTTGTTGATTAAGTAAAAGTTCTGATTTTCTCCTTAATTTTGTTACTGTACTCTTTCAGAAAGATTGGGGAAGCTTAAAACTGAGTTAAGAGAAGCTGAGGATGCTTTGGTAAAAGCTCTTTCCGGTACTCTCTCACTCTCTCTGCGCGCGCTCAAGCACAAATGCTAATAACCTTTTAGTTGCATATGTATATAACTATCAGATTGTTGATTTTTTGGCAACATAGCTGGAAACTTTCCTTCTAAAAGGTCTTTATGTTTTGATATACTACTAATGTTCTTTAGTCTGTTACACTAGTTTGACAGCTACCAGTCTTGGTATGGTTAATAAAATATTAATGGCTTTAAGAAACTATGTAGTTGAGGAACTTAAGACAGATTTTGCTCATGGGAGAAGAAAGATGTATTTCTTGGTTTCTTGAAAAATGGTATGGATGTTTCAGGTTGTACTTAAATTTTTTAATGTGGTTCCTGATTCCCTCATGATTGTTGGATTGTTTAACTTGAGGTTGTTTGATAAAGTTTATTTTCTATTAGCATTACATGCTGAGCATTCCTTTTAAAACTGGAGTGCTCAAGTCTTAAGAACCATCCATGAGTGAAGAAGAACCAAGCACCTTAATGATTGTATGTTGACTGGATAAAATGGCTCTATCCATGAAAAAAGAAAGCATTTACGAAATACCCTTCATGTTGATTGTCTATGGCCTTAATGACATGTTAAATTTATATTTACTCTGAGGTCTGGAGTCAACTTGTATTTTAGGAAAACATAGTTACTTTAATTTGGAGGGAAACTTAGTGGCTCTGATTTTTTGCGTTTGTAAGACAGTTATCTTACCGGTGAATTGGAAAAAAAAACAGAGAAAAAAGAACTCTCTATTTTTTTCTTCTAGGCTGTTTAATACTTCTTGACCGCCAACCAGTGAAGACTCGGAAAGAGGCAAAGCAGATGGCCATGAGGGACTCGATATCTGATACAAAAGCTAGAATTGAAGAACTTAAAGAAATTGTTGAAAATCAAAGGGCAAAGAAAGATGAATATGCCAATATAATATCTAAACAGTCTGAAGGTGAATTCTTTCCTCGTACGTTTGCCTGTGAGGCTGTGGCTGTTTATTTCCAATTGTTCATTTTGATCTGTACTCAAAATTTGGAACTTTAGCAGATAATTGAAGCAAGAAAGCATAAGGAAAAATGAAAGTGAGTGTAAATACATTACAGAGAGAACAATTTGAAAGTACTTCAATACATGCCAAAGTTTCTTAAATAGAAGCACTTATGTGCTAAATATCCAATTGTGAAACTTAGCCTATGTTTTGTTCATTTTTAAAAACACTCAAACTGCTTTTTATTCACATATTTCAAGGGACCCACATGTAATACTCACTTCTTCATAAATCGTTTCTATCTATTTTTTAATAAATTATAAATACTTCTCAAACATGCTTTTCTTCTTAGAGTAGTGTGAAATTGAGATGTTAGATAGGGTAAAGAGTATTTGGAGGAATGGAATTAACATGGTAATGTGCCTGTTTGTTTTCATTGGTTGTTAACGTTGAGATGATTGATAGGCTATTGGAGAAATGAGAAAATAGAGGAGACAAGAAAGAAATAAAGGGACTGAAGATTGGAGCTTGTTGGTTGGAATGAATGCGGGACAGAAGGATTTTATGTCATCTTGTTTAGTAATTGATAGGAAGTGAGTGATAACGTGAAGGTGGAGGTGTACATAATCATCCAGATACATTTTTTCATTCCCCAAATTAGGCTGAAAAGATGATCTAAAGCACTAAAAATACTAAAGCAGCCTCAATTAAAGTTTTTAGATTAAGAAAATAAGGTATAACAGTAAATTGCAGTTAATATCATTTTCTGTTTCTTTACCTTCGCTTTCCTCCTCTTCCCTTTCTACTTTCTGTTTTCCATTTCTTGTCTGGTAGATACCAATGACTGGATAGTGTTTTCATTTATCTAATTTCTTCCTTTCTTTGACTGCCTTTAGATTTATCTAATGATTTGTTTGTTATGTGTTAGTATTTATTGATGAAATATTTATACTCGCGGCCTCATCATCTAGTGCTGACCTTTTAATTCCTTTTCTGTCTTGGTGAAAAGCTTTGGCAGCATATGAAGAAAAGTGCAACCAGATCACTGAGCATGAAGAACAAATAGAAGAGGCCATTTCATGGTACAATAGGGTCCTTGGTTTCCGTATCGAATGTGGTCACGGTAATTAATTCCTGGGACTTGTTGAAGACTTGTAAATACTACTTTCTACATAAAAAGAAAAAAGAAAATAATAACTGTTCCTTATATTCTGACTCTTTTGCTCCCTTAGGTGTAAAGTTCATATTTTCAAACATTAATCCGGACAACGCAAATGAGCAGTACTCCTTTGTCATTCGTCATGAGAATGAGATTTACACATGTAAGGAATGTGCACTTCAGTCATTTGCTGATCTCCAACAAACGAAAATCTTAATATTTTTTCTCTATGTATGACCTCCAGTGCTTGATTGCAATCCCCCTTTGAATGACACAAGAGAGCTGATTGGTGAGCTGAATAAAAGCAATGGACTGTTCAAATTTGTCAGAACCATGAGAGAGAAATTCCAAGAATTTGCAGCACCTGGTATGGCGTTGTATCTCGCTCTCTTCTTTTTAATATTCTTGAGATTGGTAAAAACTTGTGGAGAAAGAAAAAGGTCCATATTCCTATTGCTTGTTTCTCGCGTTCTGTTGCACAATTATGTAAAAGAAAAAGATGTTTTGACTGATTTTTATATACGGTGATCACAAGGTTTCTAAGTATAGGTATAATGAATATACAGGAACCTCTAATCAGATTCCATCTCTTGATCAAGATTCTTCAATGATCTCACCATCAGCCCCAGTTGCTTCAGTTTCAACCGATCATAGAAGTGAATCTGTGGTCAAGGAAAAGGAGATTCAGCCCAGTGAATCTAACCACATCTCCAGAAAGGTTGGCAAAGGACAAACAATTCTATCTCCTGGATCTGCTTCGTCCGTTCGTCGCTCCTCACGTTTAAAGGTGACATCTGGATATGCTCAACTAGTACATTCTTAAGAACTAAAATATCTATCTGAGACATAGCCCCCGTTTGCTACCGCTAAAAAAATCTGAGTCAAAGTCAACAATTAATTTAACTACACATTTCGTAGGACCACGACTTTTTATTCACATGTTCCATCAACTTTTATCAAAATATATTCAAATTCTGATTTTAATCTCTACCAAGAAGGGGCATAGTTGGTATCTGAAAATTTAGGACATAGTTGCAGCCCGTAAGATATACGAATACGTTTTTTTTTTTTTTTTTTTTAGCTTTTTTTTTTTTTTTTAAGGAAAAAAAAAAAATTTTTTTTTTTTTTTTTTTTTTTTTTTTTGTAAGCTATTTCTTGTTTTCTTAAGGAAAAGAAAAGAATGCTTCTCTTTTCTATCTTTTTCTGTTATGAACAAGAGTCTCTTTAGGTCCAAGTACATCTCATTTTTAAGATGTGATAAAATTTTATGTTGGTTGTCAACCTGCTGCAACCGTGCTCCTTTATCCTACTCATCTTATGTCTGCAGTAAATCTCTATGAGCCACACATATTTGATTAGCAAAACAGAGAGGATAGGTTAACCATGCACAAAGCCTGTTTGGTAGACAACACAAAGACCTTTAAAGGCGTAGATTTGTATGTCCCTTTTTCCACACTGAATTAGTATATAAACTGAAGATTGAAAATTGCAGGTTAAAAAATGAAGATTATCTTAAATCTGAAGAACTACTCATCACGTGCTGTGCCTGCTTGCTTCACCATTTAAGCATCAATGGAGTGAAGCAAAGATCTTATTTTGCTTATGTAATGTTAACCTTGGTGGTTAAGCAGCACTCTAAACTGAGTGAAGTTGCCTCATTAGTTACTATAGCTGATGTATAACAAATTTTCTTTTGGTAAATGATTTTCCTGTACTATGCTACGTTAATTTTATAAAATGGTTTGATTTTATTCTTAGCAAAACTTGGTATTGTTGTTCGTCAGCATGTATAACTGATGCCCAATTCAAGCATCGCAGTGCATATTCTATAAATCGAATTGATATAAAGTTGCAACTTATATTGCATATTTGGTGGTATTACGCATTTTGATGTTTTACAAAGTGGATACCTTCTGCCAGTGGACACTGGACAAAAGAGTAATGGCTGCTAATGCATCAAATTCTTATGGTGCCTTCTGATTTTTTCAGCCATTTAGGTTTCTGCATCTTGAAAGAAGCAGAAATGTCTTCATTAAAATTTGCTATTGTTGGAAAAATATGTGAAATTGGCATTATTCTGTACGGATAGTGTCTTACTGTCATGAAAGTTTGGATTGACTAAAGCTAAGAGTATACTTTTTATGTGATTGTCGTCTGCCTTCGATATACATTTATTTGGCTACTTGTTACATGTCGAAAACTACTGAGGTTTATTGGTGAAGAAGACTTTCAAATTTTAGCTTGCTGGCTGTAGCAATCGCCTGTGTATTAAAGCTTTTGTCCGCTTCCATAGCTTGTATGCTTCAATTTCATTGTTTGCTAGTGCTGAGCAGCGCCTCTCATTACAGTCTGCAAAGTACTTTCCACTCACCCCGGCCATCTGTGGGCTTAATGCAGTGTAACATGTGGTTGCTGCACCCTGCAAATTGCATGTCAGATATCAGGAAGAATTTAGAAGAGACAAGGTAAATGTAATTTTACCCCCTTGTAGTTTTTAGATGTTGCACGTCTTAGCCCTATTGTGTCCTAAAGGCTAAGATGCCCACATTATGAATATTAATAGAAAAATTTCAAAATTCTTAATGCGAGAATAGGGATTGCAGATCTTGATTGTGGAGGGTGATTTGGGAGTCTGCATTATTTATGAAAGGTGACAAGAGGGAAGATTTATATCCTCTTTACAACAGTGTAATAATAGGCTTAATTTTGCCAACATAATTACACAATAAGAATGTGTACTGTTATGCTTAGTTGGCGTATAATTGTAAGGTTAAATGTACAATTTTGAAGTGAAAGGGATTAAAAGCATCTCTAATGCATTACGTGGACTTCTGTCAAGGTAACATGCAAGTTGAAATACTAATGTCTAATGCATACACTCGAGTCTAAATTTGATCTTTAATGGGTTCTTAAAATAAAAACAAAATCACATCAAAAAGTATACATAGGAAACATAAATTTGCATAAAAAATATAAGCTTTGTAAATCAGCAAGTCTAATAGGTTTTGAATCTAAACTGAGCTCTAGACAATTTTGTATTTTTTTTGCCACATTCGCTTGACAAAGCAAATCCCTTAGCAAGGATTTTTTTTTTTTTTGTTGGCGTATAATTGTAAGGTTAAATGTACAATTTTGAAGTGAAAGGGATTAAAAGCATCTCTAATGCATTACGTGGACTTCTGTCAAGGTAACATGCAAGTTGAAATACTAATGTCTAATGCATACACTCGAGTCTAAATTTGATCTTTAATGGGTTCTTAAAATAAAAACAAAATCACATCAAAAAGTATACATAGGAAACATAAATTTGCATAAAAAATATAAGCTTTGTAAATCAGCAAGTCTAATAGGTTTTGAATCTAAACTGAGCTCTAGACAATTTTGTATTTTTTTTGCCACATTCGCTTGACAAAGCAAATCCCTTAGTAAGAATTTTTTTTTAAAATATAGTCTATTTTGTTTTATGTGGCTAATTTTTTAGTAATCTATGGAAGCATTAGATGTGCTCTAATAGGTCACTTAAAAGAGGGTTTGAGCATGTTTGCATGAGCTTAAAACTTATTTTCAAATAAGTTGAGCTTTTCTAGAAAAATAAGTTTTCTACTAACAACATAAAAATTTTAAGCAATCATGTTTGACAAATAAACAATTGATAAGTAAGTTTAACTTACTTTTAAGCACAGCTAAACATGTGTAACTGAATCTTTACCGACTTAAGAGTACAGACAGACAAGTATGCAGCGACAAACCTGTGATATTGATTTCAGCAATCTGGATGCCATAAAAAACAAAGAATCTGAAATTTGCAAATAAAGCAGTGGATTTAGTTAAATTTGCCTGCTGGATTGCAAAACATGCTGAAAAGTAAAACAGATGGATCAAAAGTAGCTTCTAAAGGTAATGCATGCCTGTGATAAAACCTTTGTATTCTCTGATAATTCCAGTCTTCACAATTCCTGGGTGGACTGCATTGATTGTTACATTTGCTTTTCTTCCCTGTTAGATTCCCATAAACATTATGATGAGTCCCATAAAAAAAAAAAAATAATAATAATAATAAATAAATAAATTTGTTTTTGCATCATAGATTCAGACAAATTTGTGACTTTGAAAGGGTTGTTTCGTTAATACTTTTTGTCTGCTTATATAGAGAGAATTATTTAAGGGTCTGATTAGAGAGTTTAAAAAAAAAATTATGATTATGATGAGACCAAAAAAATAAAAATAAATAAATAAATATTTTTGCTTCATAGATTCAGACAAATTTGTGACTTTGAAAGGGTTGTTTTGTTAATACTTTTTGCCTGCTTATATATAGAGAGAATTATTTTAGGGTCTGATTAGAGAGTAAAAAAAGAAAAAAAAGTTCAATTTTTTATGTGTTTTTACCTTGAGCAGTCTTGACAGTTCCTTAGCATGCAATATGTTGGCTAGTTTTGATTGGGCATAGGCACGAGTGCCGTTATAACTGCAGGAATAAACATGAACCGATAAAAATAATGCTATTTTAGCACAAGTAGTGTTTTAACACCAGCTTACGTGATAGTGTGACTGCTGTCACAATGTAATGAAGTTGACGCTGGTCTCATCATTGATACTAAGCATTAGTTGTGTTAAACAGTATTATTCAACAGATAAACCATATAGTTAAAACAAGGTGGAATCTTAAACTTGCTTACGAAGAATGCTCATTTATTTCTCGTGTCGCTACTGCTTTCTTGTTATATTTAATAATCTAAAATTAAAACTGCGTATACCTTTTTCTATAGCTAGGTTGTAATTTACTTATTTTTTAGATTCTGAAAGTAATATTAAGAGAATTTGAATTCATTCACCTTTTGGGGCTGAGCATTTTACGGAAGCAAAAATTGTCTCTTTTCACCCAGCTGTGAATCACTGAGGAAACATTCACTATTCTTCCTTGGATGCCAGTTTCTGCTGCTGTCTCCACCATTTTTTCCAATAACATTTCTGTTAACAGAAAATGTCCTGCCCAAACAAAAACACGACAGGTTTATTTTTAAGTTTGTTACTTTATCAAACACAATTCTTAAAATGTTACTTTTTTCATTAACAAAATCTACTTCTTTATGGATTAATCTCAAACTTTTTTAGACTGTAAGTTTTAAGAACTTCTACATTAATGCTTTCTGGGACTAATTCTATTTACAATAGCTATACTTTTGATGCAATTTTCAATTGGGTCCCTATATGTTCTATACTTAAATTTGTGTCAATTGAATCATTGTCTAGTGCTGGACACTGAAAAAGAGATGCTACAAAAAACAATGAGAAGAAGAATACCCAAGTAATTTGTGGCAAAAGTGATCTCAATTTTGTCTTCGGAGAACTCCAATTTTTGTGAATATTTGCCAGCATTGTTTCTGCAAAGGTAAAATTTGATAACTGCCATCAGTTGCATGTATTTACACATGTTTGGTCCAATCGACTAGTTAAACTACACTGGACGAATATCGTCTATTATTATATGCAGTGTTGTCCAATATTATGTCTAAAGACTTGCGTCCACTTTTATATTAGATGACTACAAAACTTACATGAGAATATGAAGGGGCAATCCTAAGGATAAGAACTCAGAACAAAATCTCTGAATTGAAGCAAATGAGCTCAAATCTATCTCTAACAAGATTACATCTGCTGCTGGATTTTCCTTGAGTAAACCTTCTTTCACTCTTGCTGCCTTCCTCAAGTCCCTCGCCGGAATAATTATTCTCACGCCCCTCTTCGCCAGCACTCTTGCGGTTTCAGCCCCAATGCCAGACGTCGCGCCTTAATTATCATACAAAATAATCCAAATCAGAAGCGCTGTACAATCTTTAAATTAAAAAAATAATTTAATCAGATTTATATATCAAGAAATCAATCTGACATTCAAAAACATTACAGAAATAATTTCAGGGTTCTTTTATGATCAATCTTAGCCTACTTTTCTCTTTGCAAAAATACAAAAGTTCAACTAAAATTATGATGAGTGATGACACCCCACTCTCAAAACGAATGATGCCTCATAAGCACTCTTTTACAAAATTCGTGGGGTGCTCGAGATTGTGAAAAACAATAACAAAAGACAAACTAAGTCTTATTATCGGTAAATTTACTCGGCTATAGATGAATCTTTTTGCACCTCACCAAGTTTTCTGTATTGCTTGTTTTCTTGAAAGTTATTTCCAGCAAATGGAATGGAAAAGAGACTAACCAGTGACAATTGCAGTGAGATTAGAAGGAATGAAACCCATGCAATCTTGAGTAACTTGCTCAGCTGTTGATTTTGAACCATAGCCACTTGGGCCTGTGATTCCTGCTAAGTACTTCAGTGTTTCCTTCATGAAAGACACACTATTCAGAACCTTAGACCTCAAGATTTCAAAAATGTAGGGCAGCCACTTATATATAAGAGTCATCAACTTAGTATCTAAATTCCATGCACCAAACGTGGTGCATGTATCTTGGAGACTATATCTATGTCTATGTATATGTTTTTATGTACACGTTATCACTCAAGGTAAATGTTTTAAAGTGGGGGTGACAAATATGATAGGTGGTCCTATGGAGCTTTTGGGAAAGGGTAGCCTAGTGTGTAAGCATTGCAATGAATCATGACGAACATAGCTTGGACGACCTATCTAAGGCCCTGTTTGACAGTCTTTTTTTGTGTAGAATGAGTTTCTGAATGGTCAATTTTCGGAGAATGTGTGATTAAAAAGTTAAAAAAAAGGTTATGGGTTTACGTGAACGATATTTTATTGTGAGATTGTGTGGTTGAAAATGAACAAAAGAAAAAAGAGTTATGAAAGAATGACTCATACGTGAATCGAATACTGTGACAAGAAAGTTGACTCGTGGGTCTCAATAGTGTGTAAGCAAAGCAATGAAACACGATCAACCCTTGGACCATTTCACTCTTCTACGGACTCATACATCTACTGAATACTTAGACAAGAAAGTAGACTCGTGGGTCTCGGTATAATGAGAACGTCGTTATCCATAACCAAAACTTTTGTAGAGAACAAGAAAGTTCGTGTGGTTAATTGAGTAGCAGATTTTTGGGCGTGTAATTGAGAAAATTCACTGTTATAAATGGTCAGTTTTCTACTAGTAATTATTAATGTCTCCCCATATTAGGTGCCTTTCTTCTTTTCGTGGGCCGAGGGGATCATTGTTATAGGGCACATTTTACTGTTTCAAATGATTTTTGTTCAACGAGTTTAATCCAGTGATGTAAGAGATGACCCCTAATGAAATTTGAGTATTTTATTATAAAAAAAATCAATTTCATTGTTGCCGGTATTGACACGTAGAATGGGACTCAATCTCTTTTTTGAATGAATTTTTTTTTTCGTTTCCCCGGAGGGCTGTTTTGTTTGAGTCGTATTCGTGCGCAGAAAAATCCTTGTTCCTCTTCTAATCGCCCAAGAAGCGAAAGCGTTGGAAGTCGCATTTTTTATTTTCATTTTCTTGGATTTCATCATGGATTTGTCACCGTGAAAGTTAGAAACGATGCACAAGATTATAACTTTACTTGTAATCAGGTCCACTATCTTATGGTTTAAACGTCTATTCTTGTATTATAGGAACAATAATTGATAACATAAATAGACAATTAAAAGCAAATAAACAAAAAAAATACTATTTATGGTATTAGTTCGATGTCAATGCAAGTGCTTTGATTATACTAATATAAGGAAGAAAAGGATATTACAAATATAATTTTGAAATTACGTCGTGATACAAAGAAAAAAATTAACTCTAGATTGTCTTTTATATAGAAATAAAATATTAAGATAACGTAAGAACTATGTAATACTACCTATAATATTATAATTTCGCTCGCAAATTCAACAATTTGTTAGGCATCAAAGAAAAAAAAATTATACTCCACGTATAAAAAACTAGAATGTCAAATCTTGCACAAATAATATTAATACTTATCTATGGAATTGTAAGATTTCTTGCACTTTTACTAAAGAAGCTCAATCAAAATGTCTCTAAATGGACAAAAATAAAAAGTAAGAGTGGCTGGATTGTCATCTCTCACACGAGTTCAACTAGATAACTTGTAATTATAAGCTGTCTCCTAAAATTAATATATATATATATATATATATATATATATATATATATATATA